CCTCTCTCCGTCGACATGGTTGAAGCACAATTAGCGACTTATAAGACGTGGTGACCGATAGACCTATTCATGGGCCGGGTAGATCGATGGGCCGGGTCGGCCCCTGGACGGGATTGAGCATGTGTTTTAGCCCGTGGGATTGACCTCGGGCCTAAAAGACTGAGCCCGACTATTTTACGGGTGGGCTCGGGATTTGTTAAAAAAGCCCGACCCGGCCCGACTTTTCCTAAACTGCTTAACCCTAACCCTGAATAAAAAATTTTCTTTTCATTCTCCTTTCTCACTCTCACTCTCAGAAGCGACTCTCATTTCTCCATCTCAACTCTCAGAACTGGCGAAGCCAGCTGCACCTGCGAACTCAGTCACTGGCGGTCGATGCCACCAGAAGTAGTCATTTCTCTCTTCGGCCATGGAGATCACGACAGTTAGCCTATACAAAGGTGCCACCTTCCTTAGAAAAGGTACATGTGATTTAGCTCTCACAGTTCACTAGTTCACTCGCTTTTTAGCTGTCTCAAAACTTTTCATTGACTTAAGCATTAGAGTGCCCACCCTGGGTCAAGCAACTTGGACACTCTAATTTGTTCTTCTTGCAGCTCAACTAGGCGGCCTGACAAGCTCGGCATTTGAGTTGTTTTCCAACAGGGAGCACTAGATCGTATTACATCAGTTGGCACCGTTTGTGGGAACACACTGCACAAAAGCTGAGTTCTCACCCATTCTCTGAGTCTTAAGTAATGGCATCCTCAAGGCAATGCTTGGATTGAAGGAACCCTCGTAGGGGGCAGAATCAAAATGATCAACCCGTGCAAGTTCCAGCGGTTTCGCCTAGACAGAATCTCCTAGTCTTGACTATGAGGCTGCCCATGTGAGGCCACCCCCATAGGTTGAGTTCTCCATGCTTCCTGCGAGAATTGATGGCCAACAAATTATGAGTCCGCCCCCACAGGTTGAGCCCTCCATGGTTTCCATGGGAGTTGACGGCTAATTGAATATGGAGCCGCTCTCGTAGGTCGAGCCCTCCATGGTTCCCGTAGGAGTTGATGACCAACAAACTCTGGAGCCGCCCTCGCAGGTTAGCCTTATCGAGGTGACGAGGTGTTTGTAGGCCAAGGTGTTAAGAGCGAACTAGCCTGTTAAAATTTTAGTAACCTAACTAAGACCCGCTTTGGCAACATGGATGAGTCGACTCGTGATGCACGCACTTTGGCGAAAATCTATGAATGGGAAGCCAGACCGTGTTTAGCATTAAGGCTCCCTCAAGCCGACCTATTCCAAACATGACAACAACAGATGGCCAATCCGCACTTAGCGCACCTTAGCTCGATCAATCATGCAACATCGTCCTCGTCCTCATTGCTAGCACCATCGTCGACAACATTCTCGTTGCCATCTCCACTATCCTCCACCTCAGTTTCGAGCTCCGCTCCGACCTTATTGGCCACCCCCTCAAGGACTAGCTTGAGGGACACTGCATAGGATATTGTGAGTGGAGTGACTTTAGGAAGTAGTGGCACAGTTTGAAGCCCTTCTTGAGGGTAGGCATGACGAATTCCACTCTTGAGGTGCTTGGGCGAACAACGGAACTCCTCAATGACAACATCCCTAGATTGGCGGATGTCCTCAGAGTGCCTGCTCTGCCTCCTCATGTTGACGAATTCACTCATGTGCCCCAGTGGTCAAGATGGTGATGTGTTGCGTAGTGCCGCATAGCCCTTAGACCCTTCCTGCTCGGGCAAACAAATCAGGCTGATGCCAACAAACTAGCTGAACTAAGTCACTTTGGGCCAAAGACCTACAAGGAACTACTCCCTTCATCGAACCGACTTTGACTTGGGAGTGGGGGGCAATTGATGAGGGGCGATTTGGCCCTCTAGTGACATTGCACCACATGGCGTCCCTAAACAGTTGCTTAACACCTTGGCATCATGTTGGCACGTCAACCCAATACCAAGTCAGAAATCTCAGGATCAGGTCGGCCATCATAAGACCAGGTCGGCCATCGTAGGGCTAGGTCACCCATCGCAGGACTAGGTCACCTGTCATAGGGCTAAGTCGGCCATCTCAGGACCAAGTCGACCATTGCAAGACCAGGTCGCCTATCGCAGGACCAGGTCAGCCATTATAGGACTAGGTTGCCCATTACAGGACCAAGTTGGCCATCATAGGACCAGGTTGGTTATCACAGGACTAGGTCAGCCATCTCAAGATTAGGTTGCCCATCGCACGATTGAGCTAGAGATCTCAGCATGAGGGGCGACCTCTCTCTGTCGACATGTTTTTAGTGTAGTTGATGACCTATAAGACGTGGTGGCCGACCGACCCCATCATAGTGAGCTATTGTCTTCGAATCCTTTGGAATCACGTTGCTCCGTCAACAAAACTAACTACTGCCCCTCCTGCTTTGGGCGTGATCAGATAAGCACTTCTCGCTTACGCGGAGTCCATCTATGGGAATGAAACCGCCTCTGAATCAAACGGGTTAAAGATATCGGATGCACTTCGCAGAGCTCACAACAATTAGCCTATATAAAGGCGTCCCCTTAAAAAAGATATACGTGATTTAGCTCTCTAACTCTCTCAAAACTTTTTGCTGACTTGAGCATTAGAATGCCCATCCCGAATCAAACAATCCAAACACTCTGATTTATTCTTCTTATAGCTCGACCAGGCGACTCTAACCTAGGTTTTGGTATTTCTTTTCTTACGATATCAACTAATTATTGCCCATTCTAACCTAGGTTTTGGTATTTCTTTTCTTACGTTTCATCAATCAGATTGAAGATCTTGTTTGCTAATATCTGACATGATATCAAGTTCTTTATTCAAATGCTCCTTTTGACGGTGGATAGAAAAAAAGCCGATATCATAAGTTTGGGACAAAGGAATAATTCTCCTCAATATTCTTTTGACCGAAAAGTCAAACAGGGATTGAATGGATTGAGGTGCTATGCGGAAGAGGCTGCTCTCCTCAACAATCCACTTTCATTATTGGGCCAATGGCGATGTATTTTATTTATATGGGGTGCCACAATATCAAGTTAACATGACGTATTATGATTGGCCCAACCCAAGCCCTGATTGAGATTGGGGTATAATTTGGACGGCCTACCCAAGCCTTGATTGGCCTAGCAAACAGCAAGCAATTTTATACGGATTGGGTTTGAATTTTCAATCCTTACGTTGGGTTGGGTATGAAAATTTGGATTTTTTTTTTCATATTGGACCCGCGTCTAATTTTCAGATAGCCTAAACTTGGCCCTGACTATTTACACATATATTTGTATACATATATATATATATATTTGTCTATACATATATATTATTTTTGTAAATCATATATTAATACATATATACATATAAACATATATTTATATCAATATGGGTTATTTAATTAACTTAAATCGGGTCCAAACTCAACCCAAATGCATTAAATTTCTATGCATATTCAAGGATTAAAGCATCGATACAATATTCCCGATACAGGATACATATCCATGGTCATGGATATCGTATTCATATCCATGGTCATGGATACAGGATACATCACGACTAGGTACGTATCCCACAATTTGTATGTATCGGCACAATACGCCTCCGTATCAAGCCATATCGTGTTGTATTGATGGATACAACCCAATACACATGAATATAGAAGCATATTTATGCCTAGTTTGACAAAATTGTATATTAACTATTTTTGGATTGTTTTTCATCATTAATAAAAATTACAAAATATAATTATAAAAACTGGAATAAATAATTTAAGATTTGATTTTCCCAAAAGAATTAATAAAGCTAAAAATTATAAAAATAATATATTTTATCTACCTTAAATGATTTATATATTTTATTTTACACATAATTATATATTAAAAATGAAAACATAGTTATTATTTGAAAAAATAGAGTTATTATATAAAAATACTAAATAAATGATTTTCCCACCAAAATTAACTGAAAACAGAAAATTATAATTATAAAAACTGAAATGAATAATTTAAGATTTAATTTCCCTAATAAATTTAATAAAAACTGAAAATTATAAATAATTTATCTATCTTAAATGATTTATATGCTTTATTTTACAATTGTATGTAAAATAAAAAATATGTTAAAAATGAAAACATATTTATTATTTAAAAAATAATTATTATTTATATAAAAAAATAAATTAATAATTATTCTCAAAAAATAATAAAAATTGAAAAATTATAATTATAAAAATTGAAATAGAGTGATAATTATTGTATGATGTTTGAATGTTCTAGAGTTATGATATTGTTGATTGTAATGTTTCTCTTTATATAACCTATTGAAGTATGCATTTCTCATATGTTTATACATTATTATAAATAATTCAGTTTTTGATTTAGTATTAATAATGTATTTATGTGATTTATATATATTTTCTTAGCATATCCAATCATTTTTATATCTTTTGTTTATATATATCTATAGCTTATGAAAGTGTATCCGTATCTGACTTATCCGATACATACAATACCCGATAACAATAATTTCATCCTTATATTAAACTTGGATTGTACAATTCGGGCTTTACATTAGATTCGGGCATTCCAATTGTTAGGGTTGGCCTGGGTTGAGCTTAAACACGGCCCAGACCATCCGACTTGCACCCCCTACCCTTTGCCTCTGCTTTTTTAAGAAAGGAGGTAAAGTAAACTCCAACTCTCGAAGTCAAGAGGATCAGTTGCTATTTTTTGGTGAGAAAGATAGTGGACAAGGACAAGAAGACAAAAAAAAAGTGATTAAGCTGGACCATTCCTGATAAGATAGACGGTTTGGATCTTTCATATCACAAGCTGGAGGAATGTTCCTGTGATGTACGATTGGGTGTCGTTGATTGTGTATTTGCATTATTGCACAGTTGAAGCACCGTAGAAGATACGAGCAAACAATATATAAACATGGGAGGCGATGGAACAAATAAAAGATTCCCATCGTAAAGTTTAAGAGAATGAGCATTCGGCTTTAGCTACTGATTGCTATTGAATCACGCCCCTGTACGTATAAATGCAAACCGAGTACTATCATCATCACCAACGTGGACGAAACCCGGTTGGTTGGGAGTCGGAAAAGTCTTTACTATTTAATTTTTGCAGGCGAAAAAATCGACTCTTCCCTAGTTTTCACAATCGAAATCGAAGAGCATCCAAGGACGGATTCTATCCAAGGTTTGATTTTTCTTTTCCCTTCTCGTTATGTACTTTTACTGTATCTTGCAATCCAACTCAAAGCTTTTCCTTTTCCCCTCGCAATTTTGCATGATCCCTTTATTTATTTCTTCAGAATTTCTGCTTCCTCTACAGAGATATTTAAACGAGATAAGAGTTTTATCGATTTTCCTTTGGGGTTTCATGGAGATTCCTTCAGAACAAGTCACAAGCATCTGCAGTCACTGGTAAGAGATGATCCTGTTCTGAAATCTATGTTCACTTTTCTTATTATATTTTGAATGTTTATCGTAGTTGTGATGTGGCGATTCCTAATTGTGAGGCATTCTTGTTGTAATCCTCAATTTCTTCGTCAAAACAATCTTTATGCGAGTTAAATTTCCCTTTTCCGTTCTATAAAATTTTCTTTTTTTGGAAAATTTTTCTATCCTTCTGAATTAGTTAGTTTTTTTTTTCCTCTTTTTTGCAAATTCAATGTAGTGACTACATATTGTTGCAATAATATCTTCAACTGTTCTCATTTGTAACCCGGCATCCTACTTTTTATTTGTTTTATATTTTTTTTTTATAGTTAAAGGCGTACGTGGCTATAAATGCTTGTCAGTTTGCTGAATTCTTTGTTTGATTTCATATAATAATCTCTTGTTAGCAATACCAGATATAGATGATATTTTGGTCATCATACACTTTAACAATTGTTAATTGTTCAACCTGATTTCAATGGACGAGCTGCATTTAATTTCTTAAACCGTATTCTATGGGAACCTCCTTGTCATTCTATCAATGAAACCATAGGACTATACGCTTAAAAATTCATCTGAAAAAGTGTCTTACTGAACCAAGACAACTAGAAAAACTATAGTTTTAAATCTTACTTCTGATGACAACGCCAAGTGGTTTGTTGAACTTACACATTTGTCTTACTTGTTACGTTCTTTTGTTGGTCATGCTTGTTACTACTCTTGCTTGTAGTTACTTCATTCTATGAATTGTTCTCTTGGTGCTTCTCTTTGATACACCGGTATGATGTTATTCCTTTTGTGCATATTTTGTATTCTTGGTTATGCTTTATTCACCCCTACATAGGGATTAGGGAGTAGGGACTTGGTAATGCATTCTGGAGAATTTCTTATTCAATTTTTCTTACCAAAGAAATATACATAATTGACAATTTCTCTTATACGCTTTTAGTGACAGAGCTATTCCAGCCGCAAATATTGATTTGCACTATGCACATTGCTCCCGGAATCTGGAAAAATGTAAAATTTGTGGAGATATGGTGCCCAAAAGACATGCTGAAGATCATTATTTGAGTACACATGCCCCGGTATGTTAAATTTATGTAGATGTTCTTGTTTCAGAGGATGCTAGAATATGTATTTTGTATAATCTCCTTTTGAGAGACACTTTTGCTTTTATGTTGGACTGCTCTGTCAAAACCCTCTTTAAATTCTCTATTTTACTTTCAATATATATATATATATATATATTTGGGTAAATCCCTTAAACCACCCTTAGGTTTTCTGAAAAAGGCCTTAAACCTCCACTGAACTTTTACCTGCCCTTAAACTTCCCCTGACTTTTGGGGATAAAGGGACTTATAGACCCCTTCTATTACTTTTAAGTGGATATAGACATTAAATGTCTATTATGCCCATACTAATTCCTCCAATCAAGTTAGTAGATTTTTCTAATTCCAACTTTACCCTTGGACTATTAATACGAGTAATTATGTTTTAGTATTTCATTTTTTTACTGCATAAACAAACCCATTTTTGGGTTAAGGGTTTTTTGGTAAAAAGTTTTAAGGTTCTTTTTTTTTTGTTAAAGGTTCAAGGGTATTTCAGTCATCAAACATTTGATGATATTATATGAGGGAAAAATTGGCCTTATAAATTTTAAACTTTTAATATGTTTAAATCCATGATATCAGTGATTGCTGTTAGGTTTGTAACAGTAATGTAACGGAAAGGATCCATAAGTCCCTTTATCCCCAAAAGTCAGGGGAGGTTTAAGGTCTTATCAGAAAAGCCAGGGGAGGTTTAAGTGTTTTCCCCTTTCTTTGTTTTACTATTAATGAAATGATGTATCTATAAGACTTGTTAGTCAGAATTATAGTTTCCTTCTTTGGCTGCAACTACCTGAATGGACTCTTTTAAATGGATAATGTGTCATGTTGGACATGTGCAGGAATCTGACACTCCGTAGTCTCCGTAGATTCTTGAGGGAACTTCTACTTAACATTTCCTTTTTTATCTATTAGCTTATTTAACATAGATGAACAGCTAATCTACAAAATGAGTCCAATTTTTGTATCAAACGTCATTTAGTAACAAAGGCAACATATTTCATAGGTATATAATGTTAGTATCCAAAAATATGAATTATTTTAATAGTATATACTTTTCCGTAGATGCTTCCACAATTCCATGTTTTCTTATCTTTCCAAGTCAGACTGTTGGACATGTGTTAGATTCTGACTCCTCTTTCTGTGCCCATGCAACACTGGCTGCAACCTGCAAATTATCATTTCTCAAAGAGGGGAAGAAAACCTTAGCCAAACCATAATTTATTGGATGAAGAAACAAGAGTATATTCCCTGGAGTTTCAGGCCTTTAGTTAGACAGGCACAAATCCTAGGTAGCGGTTTGAGTAGCTTATTCAAATGGGTCCCTAGAAGAGGAAATACTTTGGCTGATCCATTAGCAAGAATAGGGGCTGTAAGGGACCATATGGGGATTACTGGGGCCAGGTATCTATTTGTGATACTCTAATAGCTATTATATGAGTTGGCACTGTACCTCTGGCCTGCTGCCCACTTTATTGGGTAGCAAGGAGTCTTTTCTAATGAAATCTAGTTGTTACTTTTCAAAAAGAGTTTCTTTTAATGAAATCTAAATGTTGCTTGTCAGAAAGTGTCAATGTTTACAATGAAACCAGTATTGAAATTATGGTTTTTATGAGATGCTGAATGTGTTGATGTTTCTTGTTTGTTAGGTGTTATTGAAAACATTCAGTTATGATTCAATAAAACTGCATGGCATTGGTCTGCCTACATTCATTTCCTAAAATTACATACTGAAAAATCAAATTTCAAAAACATAGTTGTGGAAGGAGACTCAAAGGTAGTGGTGGGCTGGAGTGCTGGACCATGGCCATATCAACACATGATGAGGGAGATAAAGCTTTTGGCTTGGGCGTTGTAGCCAACTGTTCCATGGGTTAAGAGATCAGCAAATAGTTTAGCTGATGCATTGGCCGAACAAGGGGTAAATTAGGAATCTCCATTTTGGATTCAGTTCTAATAAGGAAAGAAAATTGGGCTAGGTGGTTGTTTTTGCCAACCTATACCTAGGGATGCTTGGCATGTTTTTTGTATTCCCATTTTTTCATGATTTAATAAACTCTAACATCATCATCATCATTATCTAAGCCTTGTCCCAACCATATGGCATGGGCAACATTAACCTGTTTACTAATAAAAACAATCAAGTTTTTAAGGAATAAAAGAAACAAAATCTCATTCAGTGTTATCAATATATTCTCTAGCTACTGCATAGATGGTCTAGCAGGCAAGCAATGATGTGTGTTTTAACCTTCAAGTTATAGTTAAGACTAATGGAATATGGTTTGATTTGATAATTACATGATGAATAAAATGCTTATGCATGCACTCACACTGAATTCTTTCTTGAATTGTTCTTCTCTATTCATCAATTAGTTCTTTCTTCTTTAATAGCCAAATAAGAAAAACCAGACCCATACAAAAAAAAAAGTTACCTATAGGTTAGTGATTGAATTTGGATGAAGCAGGTATCTTGTTCGCTATGCAGTGAGACAGTAGATCGTGAAATTTTAGTCCTCCATAAAGGTGAAAACTGCCCCCAGAGAATTGTCACATGTGAATACTGTGAATTCCCATTGCCTGCAGTTGATCTCTTCAAACATCAGGTTATTCATTGATAAATTTAATTGAAGATTGTTTTCTCATGTCTTGGTACCATTTGCTGGTTCAATGACATTGTTTCCTAATTTCAGGAAGTATGCGGGAACCGGACAGAGTATTGTCATCTGTGTAGCCGGTATATTAGACTGCGTGAAAGAAATGACCATGAAACCAAGTGTCGTCTTGCTCAAGACAATGCCAGACTTTCTAGGTAAATGGAACACTATTTTATTTACTTAAGCCTTCAACAAATGATTATTTTATTCTTCTCCAAATTTATGGCACCACTCTTGAAGAACTGTTCTACTACTACTATTTTTCTGTTTGTCTTGAGACATTTCATGGTTCATATGTGTGTGCATTCTGGTCCATATAGTTTGAGATGCTTCTTTGACTGCCATCTTTTTTTCCCCCTTTTGATCATTAATCACAATCAAGTTGATTTTATTGATAAAAAAAATTAATTATAACTTATAAGAACCACTGCTCTGAGCTAGCTGAAGGCTGAAGCAAAGTCAGCTCTTTTTCCTTTTCTAATTTATCACATCAATAAATTTTTATTAGTAAAAATGAAGGAGCTGAAATCTCAAATTTGCATTTTGTTAATGATATAAATTTGTTGCGTGAAGCTCAATGAGATTCCATGTATCACACAAGGTGTCATTAATTGTTTTGGTGCAGTAATTGGCACATCCATTAATTTGGTGAAAAGTCACCTAAAGAACATCCATTTCTCTAGCTGAATTGTGGTCATTAGGTTGTAAAGTGGAAAAATGGTTAACTAATATATTGGCATACCATTAGGCAGAAATCTGGGAACTTTGTAAATTTGGGATCTTGTGACAAAAAGTTCGAGATGAGGTTGGCTACATGGAAATTTAAACACATCTCTGAACACCGGAAACTGGTTTTGACCAAGTGAATCATGTCTTGTGTACTTAGGTACTTTCTTTTGGTATTTGGATTCCTCCTAGAGGGAAGAACAGAATTGAGCAGTTGCAAAAGAATTTCCTTTGGAATGACAGTGGGGAGAAGAGGGGGATCACTTGGTGAAGTGGGAAATTGTTTGCAAATTTATGGAGGGTGGTCTTGGTTTGGGTGTATCTGTTATAAGGAACATGATGTTACTTGTAAATGTCTCTGGAGATTCTTGCTGGAGCCAAGTAGCCTTTGAGCCACCATCATACAGAAAGTATGCGATGAATGCCAATGAATAGGATAGAACCCTATACTGCTACACAATTTGTCCCCCAATTCTTGGAAATGTCTCATTAGATCATTTGGTTCCTTATCTTCTTCTTCTCCAATTTTTATTCAATGGAAACAAAACCACAAATACAAACTACAACTTATAACTATTAAGTGTTAGGGTTGTGACCCTTAACTCATCCACATAAAAAGCTAAAGCAATATCCATTGGTGGAGATTCAAAAAATTTTGCCCATTCTTCCTGGCTAGAGATCTGTGCCCTGATTTCCTTCCATTTAACAATAATTAATCTTACCTCTCATTTCAGTTAGGATATTGATAAATAGCTGGTTAGCTGGTTCCTTTATTTCTTTCACCTTAGTCAAGATACCTGTAACCTGTTCTCCTAACTTCTGCTTGGATTGCAAAACATAGACTTCCCTGCCATTGGGGGAGGCTCAACTACCAAGATCTGTTGGATCCAAAATGTGGGACTGACTCATGGAGACTTGCATACTAATTTATTTATCTTTACAGATTGCATGACTTGGACTTCACACTTCAGACAGCACATGGAAAGTAAGATCACTCACATCCAAAATGAACAGTTAAGATGAATTTGGGGGTCAGTTAATACCCTAATTGTCTTACTAGAGGGGGGTAGATAGGGAAATTTTGTATTTGAGAATGAGCATTCCAGGATCGCTCTGTTTTCGTTTTGGTGTTTTTTTTTTTTTTTTTTTTTTTTTTAAATTTTGGTAATGGGGATCATCGACCATAGCAACAACATGAGTGTATATAATGACGTACAAGGAGGACAAAAATATGCTGCCCAAACCAAAGAAGTCTTAAGTAGGCATGGAGGTGTAGCTGTATAAAAGCATCTTTTCTCACCCCTTCCTTTGGTGAAGCCATCAGCTATTGAATTCAGCTCTCTTGATGTCTATCTATTCTAAACTAATATAGAGGATAAGATATTCTTAATTTTTAAGGTGAGTCTCTTATGTGCTCTCCTATCTATTTTTCTATATATAGAGTATTTCCTTTTCTCTAGAATAGCCCTGTTTTAGACTCTTTGGTTTCAACTTCAGGCTGTGGATTAAAGATTGAGCCTAGGATATTGGGCTTGCAAGTTGTGAAGACACCTTACTTTTGGGACACATGAGCATTAAGATGCCCTGTCGGTTTGGTTTTAAAGCCACATTTGGAAGGCCCACTTGTGCTGCTTGATGTGGAGATGGATAAGTCAATTTACTAGGTAGGGTCGGTCAAAGAGATGTTCTGAACTAGTCTATGGTGAATTCAGCGATTCTATTGGTCTTAACTACAACAAAAGTTGGGGAAGATGGGGTGGGATATGAAGTACACGTTAAGGTAGGAAAGTTGCAGGAGAGTTGTGAATGGTTTTTTGGATATATATTGAATTGTCAAGGTTCTTAGTGTCTGTAGGGTTGTTGGTTCCCTTTATTATAAATATAATGGCTGGCGTGTAATTTGTTTTGGTTTTCTTGGGGGTAGTTTCTAAGTTGGTCTCACGATTGGAAAGGGCAATCAGTTTTGTCGACCAGTCCAGGAGAAAACAAATTCTTTATACTAAAAGTTGGAGAAATTACATTAGCACCCTTGGGCACACCACACAAAATGTCAATAGAAAGTGATAAAATACATCTGGATGTAGAGTAGTAATAATGTATAGCATGACTCTAAACTCTCCTATTTTGTACAGTAGTGCAGGTTGGGGGGGCCTCTTTGAGGATCTTTCTTCCTTTTCTTCCTCTGTTCCTTGTTTCTGTTATCTTAGCATTCCCTTAAGAAATGTTGATTTTTAATAGACAGTTTTTTTATCGGTAAAAAACATATATTTTGTTGTTTATAAAAAAAATGAAAAGTGTATCTTTTGTTGATTCTTAAACTTGAAATAGTATCTAAATGATTTGATAAGCCCTTGAATGTTGGTGAAACTAAATCATTAATAAAAGCATCCCTTGTGCATTTGCACTCTGGTTCATACTGTAATTCAGAACTGGCTCAGTGGGAAAGGTCTCTGGCTCTGCTTGTGGCAGAGAATTGGGGGGTTATGGGTTTGGAGGATGGGCTACCCCCCTGTTGTGTAGCCCCATGGAATCAAAGAGAGAGAGAGAGAGAGAGAGAGCATACAGGAATATTTAGTTCATTAGCATCCAAGGGCTCATCGCATGAATGCATTACATTTATTGGTCAAAACTTTTGATTACTTTGGCTGATAAAAAAAATTGGATCTCCTTGTTTAATTTTTAAGGGATGCAAGTGCATCTGAAAGAGAGCACGATGCTCATAGAAGGCAACCACATGATCTATCACGGAGACGCTTACTGTTAACAATTGCAATAACGGGCATTGCTGTTCTACTTGGGTCATTTTTCCTCCAGAAAAAAATCGACAGCAATCAATTGCAGTAAAACAGATTGGAAGGACTTTTATTTATTACGTTTTCTTGAAGTGATGTATTATGTCTACACGTATCTGAAAGGATCTAAAGTTATTGTTTTATAATAGCTGTATTGAACACACAAGGATCATGTAAAGTATTAGCAGAGATTGTGCTTATGACTTCTTAGCATGCAATGGCATCTGACATCTTCATCCCCTTGCTTTTCTTTTCAAATTAATGATTTATCTCCTTGTGTGTTATGCCACAAGTTTGTTTTGGGACACCTGGTGTCTGATAAGATTCCTCTGTCGTTTGTTTTGTGGGTATTAATTTATAACTGTTGAAATGTAAAAGGGATAGGGTTCGGTCAATCACATAATAGCATTGAAAACTGAAAAGCACCAAATTATTTCTTGATTTACTGAAGACCAGATAGCAATATTGTACATTGATTTTGTTCCCAGCTATCCTAACCCATCCATATTTGAGCTCTGCTTAAGATGTTAGGGGTGTCCTAGGTCTGATTTTTCTGTATGTTGCCTGACCTAGCGTCCTAGCCTCATCAATTCAACGTGGGTGAGCCAATGGTCTTATCGGTCTGGGCTGCTAAATTGGACTCTTTTGATAGAGGTCTTTATGACTGAAAATCAGCTTGGCTGTGATTTTAACCATTCAATGGGTAGCCTTTTTATCTTCTTCCTGAATGTCCAAAAATATACAATTGATTCGGATGGTTTAGACTAATATGATTTGGCTGGCTGATTACTGAATGGCAAGAGTGCAAACTACCATGGGAACAGTTTCAGAGCTGCTATCTATTAAAATTGTTCTGTTAATTATTCTTGACCAGTTTGAGAGTACTTTTGACTTTTTGACAATATTTCCAATCTCTCTGGTTCTGTGTAGGGGTGTCAATTGGACTGAATTTGGTCCAATCCGATCCAGTCCAATGTGAGTCCATTAAAAATGTATCAGGTCCATTACAATCCAATGGATATTTTGGATTGGTCCAATTCAATGTCTACACCGTCCAATTTGTTTAAATTTGTTTTAATTTAAATTGATTCTAATCCAAACCTGATCCAAATTGATTTTGGTTTGGATGGGGTCCAATCCAAAACCAGTTCATTGACACCCCTAGTCCTGTGAAGGCATTATGTTGATTGTTTATCTCGTTATTGTTTAGACTTCTATATTACCAACAGATCAGTCTTCAGAGCATAAAGCCTTGAATTTTCAATCAGTTGTGCTAATTTTACCATTAGTCCTATAGGAAGATTCACATTTCCCAATGGCAGAATAAGGTATATTTACCCAATGGCTCTAACTATAGAGTTCAACAACAAGGGATCTGCTACCAACAAAACGCTGGGAACAGTCCCAAGTGACCACTGCAGCCACACATTGGAAGCATCTCCCTTGTCATTCTTGGGGAGATATTCCTGATTTGCGACTGATGACTTGTTGGGGCAGGGTTAGGAGCATTTGTTATAACACTACCATAACGTCACTTCATCTAATTCAAGGTGGGCCACAACAATTAATGAAAGGCTTTGATCTTGTAGTTTTAGTGCAGCATTAAAATCACATTAGAGCAAAAATCATATATATAATATATATTTAAGATTTACGACCAGAAACTGACCTAACCTTTGGCTTTTCTTTTGTGTGCAAGAAGTGGCCAATCTTTGGCATCCAGTTTATCTCTTCTGGGACCTTAAACTCGCACCACATTTTTCTCATTGGTGCAATCCTTTATGTCTATGCCCAGTTAGCTTCCAATTCGTAAATGTCTCATTGTTTGCATCTCTTATTTTCTTTTCTAAGAATTTTCCTCTTGATTGTTCTATTACACTTAAGCCTTAGTTTGGAAGGAGTACAAATACAAATATGTACAGTATAGAAATATACAAAAATACAAAATAATATAAAATATAGGGTTTTGCACTTTAAATATTTGTATTTGTAATCCTTCCAAACTGACTGAGCCTAAATCTCCATGAATGTTTTCATTTTGAAGGTTTCTCTTTTAGCTTTTCGATTAAAAAATGTCATAACATTAGCATATCTTTTATTATTGTACTCACTTTTTAGCAATGTTTTAAAAACTGACTCGGAACCAAAACCGTTATGGCCACTGGTTTTTGAGTTGACGGTTTAACCATTTGGCTTGAACAGTCTAGACGAGCTGAAACAAAATCATACACACCCAACTGAACTACCTATCATGGTTGAACACGCCAGTGTTGAGTATAGCTAGGGATTGGGTGGGGCCCAAAGTGAGCACTAGTGTGTTCACTCGTGATAGGTTGTTCAGCTGGGTGTGTATGATTTTGTGTCTAGCTAATCCACTCCCCGATTCGAACGGACAACCCGTTCTGAGGAAAAAAATTTAAAATTTTGAAAAAATAATTAAAATAAAAGGCAAAAAATTGTTGAATGGATCAACAACTACCTGGGTCAATGGGTTGTTGACCAATTCAACAATTTTTGGCAAAGGGTTAGGTTTGGGATAAAACAGAACTGGTTGCTTGGATGGTTCCCAGGCCGGATGGTTTGACCGTTCGGGTCAATGTCGATTTGAAAGCATTGCTTTTTAGGCATTAGCATTTATTTTGGTAATAAAAGTATTAGATTCTTGACTATTTAACAATCAATTTTAGCAAAATCCATGGTGCATGAATTGCTGACGCAAACAGTGTAGTAGTGATAGAATGATATATTTGACATCTTTAATATTGTTGAAGTTTTTAATGATAATTGTATATTGTAAAATATGAACTAATGAAAAAGTAAGTAAATGATTTGACATCTTGGTTAATATGTCACAGATATTCACTAATGCACCATGATTTCATACAAGTTGGATGTATGAATCTCCTAATATACATGTTATGAGGGGTTCTATTGTTTGAGTATAAAGACCCCTAGCTCTCCATATTTGACGTTTTGTTAAATACAATGCATTACCATACTTTGAACGTTGGTTATAGGGCTCATGCCTCAGCCTCAGCCTCAGCCTCCATGGAGAGGAATTCACTTTTGCTCGTGGTCTTGAAAATCAGACTGGACAGGATGGTTTGATTGGTTGACCCAGGAACCATCCAGGCAACCAGTTCTATTTCACCCTAAAACTGTTCTTGGACCAAAAATCATTAACTTAGTCAGCGATTCACTGATTCAACCCGTCGACCCAAACAATGGCTGTTGACCTTTTTTATTTTAATTAATTTTTTTAAATCAGAACAATGCATCTATTTAAATTGGACGGTCCAACCACTAACCCAAAAACCAAAATGATCCCAGTTCCAATTCGGTATTTAAAACATTGCTTTTGCTACAAACAGTATTATGACTCAGGGCAAAAATACATGGAGCCCGATCTTTTATAATGAGCCCATTAATTTATTAATGCTGTAAAATCTTATCATTGCTTACACAGCCCGCTGCGCTGAACAGCGTTCAGCCAATTCGAATCAAGGCATTTGATTTATTGTTGTGTCGTATCAAATATGATTATAAGGAGAGATGGTTGGCATCTGCCGTGACAGGAACGGAAGCAGCCTTCGCGCTTACCTGTTACACCACAAACCATGGATAAAGGCAAAACAGCAAAACTTGTATACGATGTTTTATCAAAGTCAACTCCACACGACCAAGAAGATCCGCCCCTGGAATTTCTTGTGGGAGATGGCCAATTCTTTTGTCTTTTCCATCTCCATCCACAAGCAGAATTTATTTCAGCAGATTATTTATTATTAATTTTGGTGAAGATCTCTTCGTTTTCAATGCTAGGATAGAGACATCTAAGCTGTCTAGCTAGTCTCAAAAACAAGGTGCAATTGTTGAGAAGGTTAAAACCTCAAAAAATAATACTTTCCTTTTGGCATCAATGGAGAATTCAATTAGCTGTATAACAAAATCTAAAAACAACCAGCTCAATATATGATATCTATGAGTGCCATTTTAATTTCAAGCACTTCTCCTCACCTCTCTCCACCCCAAAACGTTCTCTTCTTCTCTCTCTCTCTCTCAAAATTGTGGAGATGTCATTCTGCAACTCACCATTTCCTCCCCTTCTATTCATATTTCTCATCTTAATCTTTCTTATCCCTTCTGCAAGCTCTCTTTCCTTCAAAATATCTCGTTTTGATCCCGAAGCCACCAATGTTCTCTTTCAAGGCGATGCCATACCTTCAGTTGGAACCATTGAGTTCAACAAAGTTAATTACTTGTGCCGAGTAGGTTGGGCTATCTATGCTGAACGGCTGCACCTCTGGGACTCCGCCACCGGAAAGCTCACAGACTTCACCACCCACTTCTCCTTCACCATCAACACGCAGGGTGCTGCCTCTTATGGTCATGGCCTCACCTTTTTTCTTGCTCCAGTAGGTTCTCAAATCCCACCCAACTCAGCTGGTGGATTTCTCGGCTTATTTAACACTACAACAAGCGATTCTGTATCCAGAAACCAGATTGTAGCGGTCGAGTTCGACTCTTTCTCAAACCCTGAATGGGATCCTCCTGTCCCACATGTCGGAATCAACAACAACTCCATCGCTTCTGCTGTATTTGCTCCTTGGAATGCTAGCTTGCACAGCGGAGAGACTGCAGATGTTTGGATTACTTATAATGCTACTACCAAAAATCTGAGTGTGTTTTGGAATTATGAAGATAACCCCAATTTTCGAACTAATTCTACTTTATTTTACCGGGTTGATTTGATGAAGGTTCTGCCTGAATGGGTCACCATCGGGTTCTCGGCGGCTACAGGCCAGAACGTCGAGCGCCATATTCTTGAATCATGGGAGTTCAGTTCCAGTTTGGAAGTAAAGGAGAATCAAGGAAAGAACAATAGAAATATTAAACTGGTAGTGAGCTTGGTTGTTACCTCAGCTGTTTTAATTGGTGGGGTCTGTATAACAGTAGCAATCTTAAGGAGGCGATGGAGGAGACAACCAGAAAGAGAAGCCGAAGGGTTGGCCCAGCTTACATCTATAAACATTGATTTTGAAAGGGGAGTTGGACCCAAGAGGTATTCCTATAAGGAGCTAGCTTCTGCAACCGACAACTTCTCAGATGAAAGGAAGTTGGGAGAAGGAGGATTTGGAGGTGTCTACAGAGGGTTCTTGTCCGACTTAAATTTGGCTATAGCCGTAAAGAAAATATCCAGAGGATCTAGACAAGGGAAGAAGGAATACATAACGGAGGTGAAGATTATAAGCCGGTTGAGGCACCGGAATTTGGTGCAGCTCATTGGTTGGTGCCATGACCGAGGTGAGTTTCTACTCGTTTATGAATTCATGCCCAACGGAAGCCTGGATTCTCATCTCTTTGGCAGGAAGAGTCCTCTAACATGGGCTGTGAGATATAAGATAGCTCATGGGTTGGCCTCGGCGTTGCTCTACCTTCACGAAGAGTGGGAGCAATGTGTCGTTCACCGTGACATCAAATCGAGCAATGTCATGTTGGATTCAAACTTCAATGTAAAGCTGGGCGATTTCGGATTAGCTCGTCTGATGGACCACGAGCTAGCCCCACAGACTACAGGTATAGCAGGAACTTTGGGCTACTTGGCGCCGGAGTACGTTAGCACAGGCAAGGCAAGTAGAGAGTCGGACGTTTTCAGTTTTGGGGTGGTGGCCTTGGAAATTGCTTGTGGGAGAAAATCAGTGGATCCATTAATGGAACAGGATTCCCAAGTGGGGTTGGTAGAGTGGGTCTGGGATCTCTATGGAAGAGCAAGGCTTCTTACGGCTGTGGACGAGAGATTGGAGATGGGTTTCGATGCCAAACAGGTAGAGTGTTTGATGGTTGTTGGATTGTGGTGTGCTCATCCTGATCACCATCTGAGGCCTTCAATCAGGCAAGCGATTCAAGTACTCAACTTTGAAGCTGTGATGCCAAATCTACCACCAAAAATGCCTGTTGCCACGTATCAAGTACCAGCTCCAGCAATCAATTCGAGCAATCCCTTGCTAACATATTCGAGCCTTCAAGAGGGTCGTTGAAATTAACTTGTATCTATCTCATTTGATTTTATTGTTTTCTTTAGGGTCTGTTTGATTGCTGAGAAAGGAAAGAGAAAAGGGAATATTCCTGAATTATTCTTCCTTTCTTGTGTTTGTTTACTGGTAAAGTGTTTTGGGATGAGAAACAAGAGGGACACGGGATCCTAAAATTAAGTGAGCGGGGTCGCACCAAAACAGTAGGACCCTGGTGAGAAAAGAAAACGCTAAGAAAATGCAAGCTGAGCAATCTAATACAAGGTGGGATGCGGTGTAAAATAGATTCCAATCGGACGAAGAAAAAAGGCATTCCCTCACGAAGGTGGCGCCCTTCGCCTTCAGGCGGCCAAGAAACATCAAAAGAGGAGGAAAAGGGGCAAAATCCGAGATCGGAACTCGAGAGTCCAAATTCCGAATAGAAGGAAGTGACAGGAAACGGAACAGAAGGGCGGTCGTCGTCATTTTTGATCAATCGATATTCGAGTAATGAGATGGTAGCGATCTCACTGTACAGAGGGAACCTGCACAGGGTGCCCGACGTCCCTCGGCGATGGCTCATGCCAATCCCTCGCATTTCCCTCAAAGATTTCAGGATTCTCCTCCGCAAACGGGAGAAAGCTCTGTCTCGCATCTCCAGCACCACCGCCCCCACTTGCTCAAATCCTAACCCTAACCCTGATTTCAAACAAGAGGAAGGCGTTGGAGACAGTGGCTGTTCCAAACAAAACGGGAGAAAGCTTTGTCTCACTTCTGAGCCCCAATCCCAGCCAACCATTTCCAGGAATTCTGAAGATGCGCCATCCCAGCATGGAACAGTTGAACACGCCAAAGGTCATAATGAAGCAGACTGCGATCCTCGTGCTGAGCAATCCTCGAGGGATACCCGACGCCAACGCCAACGACGAATACGACAATCTCTACCTCACAACGGTTAATTTTGTGTCTCAATGGTTGTTGGCTATCTCAGGACAGTTGAAATCTCTAGCAATTTCGGATTTCTGGATCCAATCTTGCTAGTGACGATCCGAAGTGGATTTTCTCATAAAATTTTTTTCAGCAAACAAACACATTATAACTAACTGAGAAAATAAATTTTCCTTTTCTCATCCCAACATTTTTCATCCCATCCTTTCTCAGCAATCAAACAAACCCTTAATGAAAACAAACAAACTTGTTTCATTGAAGTTTGAAGAATTTGTACATTAATTATTTGTTTTAATGCAACTTGACACTCTGTTTAGCATTTAGAAATTAAATGAATACTTCTTAAGGACTAAGGTAATGCTGACGGCATTGCTGGGTAGTATTGGATTAGTTTTAGGCCACCGACTAAGTGACCTGGCGACCTCTCTAAATTATTTATATTTGCAATACAGTTTGGACTGTGTTAACCATTAATTTAAATCTTTGACGACCAGTGAAGAACTTTCCGAGTGAGTGTCTGAAGACATTAGGACTTTGAAATCTGGTACATCTAATCATAATTAAAGAAGATGACGATAAAGAATAAGATTATATACTTAATTGGATTAGTTAGGACTCTTGCCTTGGAAGGCAAGACAATAAACAATTAATGTGTTGGATTTTCAACCTGTGAGGAATGTGCTACGAAGCATTTTGACAGCCTTTTTGTACTGTTGTAGTTTATATTATTCATAAATCGCTTTCTATTTCTTTCTTATCTTCTATTAAAATAACCTGGATTCACAAAAAAAAAAAAAAAAAATCTATCAAACCAAAGACAGACTTAGGAGGAGATGAGATAACCTTCAATCTGGTTTAAGATTTAAATATAGTCATTTCGTTACTACATTGAACATCGTTCGAGTTTAACACCGATGGGCTTAAAATGAAAGTGAACAGTTGGAACTTTTTAAGGTGTGATAATTGATGTAAAACTCAACCGTGCGTGTGGTTTAGATCGATTTTCTATGTAAAACTTATACTCTATCCAAATGTATAAAAATATAGACCAAGAGTGGAGTTTTACACCAGTTCGTTTTTACATCGAAAATAAATACAGTCTTAGCAAAATTTTTCATACATTAAAAAAATAGAAATGGAGGAATTTTATAAATGAAGGGGTGAGCATTTGGTTTATTTGGTTAAAAATCGAATCAAATAAATTAAAATTTTAAAAACTGAATTAAAAATGAAAACCAAACCAAAATCGAATTATAAAAAAACCAAAATTTTTTGTTCGGTTTTCGGTTAAAACCAAATTTCAATAATATATATATATTATATACATTATATATATTATAGCATATAATATATAATATATTATGAAATCATATTTCATTATATTATATATATTAATATATAAATATATTATATATTAAATATTATATATTACATGTTATATAGCAAAGTTCGGTTAATTTGGTTTTTCAATTTACCGAATTTCAAATTATGAAAACCAAAACTGAAACTGAAATATTTAAAAACTGAAATAACCAAACTAAAAAAACCAAAACCAAAATTTTCAGTTTTGCTTTTTGGTTTTAACCGAATAATGCTCACCCAACCATCCATTGGATTAGGTGTGGCTCTCCATATCTTTTACAAGGCCAATGCCCGAGTCCTCTTTTATTTTAGGTGCAGATTGGTATGTATGGTTCATTCAAAGTTTCAACCTTAAAAGGGAAAATCTATGATACTAGAAAGACATGGTATTGGAAGAGCTCTGACTAATCAAAGTACCCCGTGAATTTTGATGAATACGACTTGATTTTGTTTTGAGGGATGAATACTACTTGATTGGTAATAGGGGTGTCAACGGTATTCAAAAATCCAATTTCAAATTCAAAATTTGACATAATCGAATCGAATTCGGATAATTCGAATATCTAATCGGTCGAATTCGGATATGACCTAATTTAATTACATCTGAATTTGACTGATTATATACTTCTTATATATAATATATAAAATATTTAAAAGTTTTATATAATTTATATATATAATAATTAAATTATATAAACAATTTATATATTTATATCCATCAGATATCGAATCGAATTCGGGTATTGAATTTTCTAATCAAACTCAAATTTGAATATTATCTGATTCAATTCGAATTCAATCTATTTACACCCTTAATTAGTAACCTCTTTTATGATATCAGTTGATTGGCAGTAAATTTTGACTATATATCATAGTTGAACCCAATTAAAAAATAAACCCAAAAAAAAAACCTTCTTTTTTGGCAATATAACAAATGGTGAAAGTGGATGGTAGGGGTGCAAGTCAAATTGGCTGGCCGGGATTTAAGGTCAACCTACGCTCACCTTTAAGAATTAGGCCTAAGCTCTGAGCCTGAACTTAGTGCTAAGTCAAGCCAATCTATCCAATCTAGGCCCAGACCACATTCAAAGTTGACATATATGTGTGTATATAATGTATATTCGCAAACATGTAAGCCTATATGTATGTAAATGCATATGCATTTATGTATATGTATAGTCGAACTAACTCGGATTAGGTCATGATTGTTTCTTTGTTTTTTTCTTTTTTTTTTGGTAAAAATTAAGAATAAGATGTGCTTTAGAAAATGCCACCTTATTTGTGGGGTATCCTGCTTGTTTGTAGAGAGACTGAACCATGGGCCCCAATTCCTTATTATGTTTTTTATTCTTTCTTACTCGTTATGTTTGTTAGTGGGCCTTGTCCTTATGGGCTGTTAATCACTTTTTTACTTATTTTAATTTAATTCATTTTTATGAGCTAGCCGCCTCATTAGGGGTAGTATTGTAATTGTAGTATCAAGATTAGATTAAGAAAAGATTTGTGGAGTAAGGAATGAAGATACCAAACATCTTTTCCTTCTCCCTTCATCTTCTTCCTCTTCTTCAATATTGTCTCTATTCTATTTCTCTCTCTTTTCCCTCTATAATTTGAGTTTTATTTTCTGATTTTATTAGACTGAATCACATCTTAGTATCAAAGCACATTTTCTTCTTTTTTCTCTTTCTCTTAATCACATACACTCTTCGATTACAAGAGTGTATTGAGAGATAAGTTGTTCATTGTTTTCAGCTTTTGTGCCTTCTTGGTAGAGGGCTTGAAGAGAAAGAAGTTGGCTATAGATTGCTAAGAAACTGAGGCTGCAGATTTTTCTCAAAAAACCCTAGCTAACTAGAGAGCTTTCCAGTTACAAGTCAGGGAGACTATGTAAGAGTGGTGCTCAAATCTTGGGAGGTCTCTTTCAATCCCTAGAAGAGATTGATTGAAGTTAAAAATTGTTTGTAGAGCCCTAGTGGTGCTCAAATCATGGGCCGGATAGCCCAACGGCCCGACCTGTCCACAATTGGGCTTGAACATATTCTTAGGCCCGCGGGCCTGGGCTTGGGCCCTATTATGTAAGCCCAACTTCCTTTTGGACTGGGCTCAGGATTTTATAGAAAAGCCCGACCCAATAATATTTTATAAAATAAAAATATTAATAACATATGTATTTATATTTTTTTCCTAACCCTAGCCGCTCATCTTTTCATTCGACAATCACAAACTCGGTCTCTTTCAAGTGCTACCCTTGTATTTCTTCAAACCTGAGCTTGGAAGGTTTCTTCCCTTCTGACCGCCTAGGCAGATTTGGCCAGGCGCTCTACCTCATTGTGGATTTGGCCCTCCAATGATATTGCGATACATGGCACCTCGGAACAAGTAGGTGACACCTGGAACAACTTTGGCAACAACTTGCCATTGCCAAGTTGATGGTGTCCCACCTGGTGGCCTGGCACATGCGTGACCTGGCCCTGGTGCGAACTGGCAGCCTGACACAAGCGCAAGCTGGCAGCCTGGCACTGGCACGACCTAGCGGCCTGGCACAGGCACCGACCTGGCGACCTGCGAGACGTGCTCGACGAAAAATTTGGCATGCATATCCAAACACTCCCACAATCCTTGGAAGTTGGCCCACGTGCCAAACGATCCGGAGGGTGGTCAACGTGCATGGTTTTTACCTCAGGGAATCTCGGACCACTTAGACGACTTCTCAGAAATCTCAGATATGGTGCGTGAAGCCCACGCCAAACAATGCCTATATAAAGGCACCAACCCCAATGGCATAGAGGGGCAAGTAAGCATCTAGCTCTCATACTTTGTGATTTTTAGCTCGTAGTCTACTATGAGAGTACTGACTTAAGCATGGAGCGACCTCGCCGGGTTAGCCACCCCGGGTCCTCTGACATTGATTCATTGTAGGTCTCTAAAGAACTACGAAGCTCGGCACCTATTAGGCAGCTCGACACTCTGGTCAGCTCGGCACTCTAGTTAGCTCGGCACTCTAGTAAGCTCGTCACCTAACCTGCCTAGCTTGGCTTAGTCAGTTCGGCACCTAACCTGCCCAGCTCGGCCCAGTTAACTCGGCACCTAATCTGCCCCCAGCTCGGCCTGGCCAGCTCAGCATCCAGGTCCTCATCTAGCAAAAGTTCACTTCGGTATCTGAGTCATCGGCCACTTGGAAGCAGACCAAATGACGAGGTACTTAGCACAAAAAATTGATTCATCACCTTCCATAGCGGCGACCGACGGTATCATCTACAGGCACCGGCAAAAGGATGGTATCGTTCTCCTTCAAACTCCGAGTACCCAGAGCAACTAGTGTCGCCAATACCATTCTCTATTTCCACCGTCTTCCACAACAATGCATGGCGGTTTCCAAACCAGCAAGGCAACAACTACTTACATCAGGTATTTAGGGTCTGTTTGGTTCGTAGGAATAGGGGTCCGGAATCGGAATCAGAATGATCCATTCCAATTCCAAATGTTTGGTTTAGCGGAATCGGAATTCCATTCCCATTCTAGGCGGAATGGAAATCCCTCGTATTGGGGAATGGCCTTTCCCGACCCCTCCTTAATGAATGCGATTCCCATTTCAGATATGAATATCTTTTTTTTATTATTATTTTTTGGACAAAAATGCCCTCCTCATTTTCAATCCAATCGAAGAGATTGGGAGAATTCCATCGCCATCTTCCATTAGGAGAGCCGAACAGAGAGGAGAGAACTCCATCGCCGAACAGAGGGCCAAACCAACCTCCGGCGAGGTAAAACCACTGCTAAACCATTATCCTCCTCCTTCTTCTTCGAAATCAACCGCCCACTGATTGAATCTTCTTCCTCTCCTCCTCTTCCTCATTCTTCCTTCTTTTTTTTTTCACTAACTGACTGGTTTTATCATTTTCAGATCTGCTCCTACTCATTTTTGGGATCGATCTACTTCACTGCTACCATTATGGGTTTTTCACATCAAGCAATCGGTGAGGAATTTGGCATTTCCAAAAAAAATTAGCAATTTGGCATTTCCAAAAAGAAATTAGCAATTTGGCATACAACAATAATACAGTACAAGAAGCTTTCGTGTATGGTTTTCTTTCATTCTATCTTATATGCATATATTTTACATGTTAATGCATATTATTGAGAAATGCTCCATATTTCTATCTTGTATAATGTTTGAGTGAGAGTAGGGAGTTTATGTGTACAGGTGTATTCCTGGGTTCATTTAAGTTCTTGTCTTTGATTATCTCTTATGATTTGCAGTTTAAGGGAGTACAATCAGGGGTATACTTTCAATTATATTTGAAAAGGAGTTTATATAATGGAAAGGGACTGTACGCCCATACTTTTTTTCAGACCTGTTTTCTTCAACTTTATACTCTCTCTTCTATTTTTCCCTCTATTTTCTCATTTCTTTCTAACTAGATTACTGACCAAATCATGTAAAATATGTAAGATGTATAATATATGATTATATACATAGAAAAGACAAAAAAAATATTTTCTTTAAAATTATTTGCATAGAAACGACCTATAAAGGTCAAGAAAACATTATTATATACAAATTCCATATTCGTTCTCTGAAAATGGCAAATTATTTGCATAGAAATTATCTATTTAGAAATTATTAACCGTGTGAAGTTCTAAATGTTTACTCCAAAACATTTCGATTGTGGAGTTTGTACATAATATGATAGGTGCATAATATATTGATAAAAAAAATATTACATGCATAATATGCAAGCATGCTAAACAGAAACAAATCTCTGAAGGCACAGTGACACCTTAATATGTTAAGATCCTACTCCTGCAACTAAGGGTGTATTGAAACCAAATTGAGAAACTAACCGTGGATACTTATGAAGCTTACCATGCATAATTTGGGTCATCAGAGTCAGTGCACAATTCAAGTCCAAACTCATTCTGACCAGAGATACATGAATCATCTGAAGTTTTTTTTTTTTTTTTTTTTTTCAAATGACAGTATTTCCATCTACAACAATCAGCTCATAACACAACACCCTTGCTACAGCCTGCAGATCTCCCCATTGTACAGGGGGACCAGAGATGACCAGATAATAACAATAACTAATAATTATTTTGTATGCGGAGTAATTTAAAGTATTTCTTCTTAATATACTTGAGAAATCTGGGTAGAGCACTTGTCTGCATCACCATATTTGTCAAATATTGGTAGTTTGGTATTTCATCTGTTCACCAAGGAAACCAATATTCGTTGCCATCCATGTATTAACCGAATTAATGGGAACTTTTAATCTCTTGGAATGAGGAATTTAGGGTCTAAGCTTGGGGGGATGATCCGTAATAAAATCGTTTTCTGTAAAGTTGCTTAAAATAAACAATGATGTAGCTAGATTTATAAAGGAAGGCCATTACCCAATTCTGGTCCCAGCTATCTGGGATCTTGGGAGGGGTGGGCTGGATATGGACCTAGCTTCTAGCATCTTTTGCATTAAGCGACTACTCTTGGGCTAGATCTCATGTTCTCTCACTCATGATATTACCATTCCACCAAGCAATCACCCCTAAGTTGTTAATAGATAATGATGTATATCTATGATTCAATAGTCAAATTATGGTACGAAGATAATGATGTGCACATGCTGTTTGACTATTTGATGTGTTAATTTTGATTCCCTCCAGACTGAGGCTGAAATTTTACTAGAATTCTCTTACAATAAAACTCAGGAATTCAGGATTTAACAAGTACTTACGATTCAATCCACAGGAGAAGCAACAGAAAAAAGGAAAATTCTCAAATAAAGCGGTTTGTTTTTCCTTATTGTGGCTTGAACTCTTTGTTTATGCAGCATAGATAGTATACAATTTCACATGCTGTTGGTATTTGTCTTTCCTTATGACTTGTCTTTTGGTTTCCAGGACAGAAGCTTGCTTCAAGTTGYGCCCAWGCAAGGKCCAARCACCTTAGCATCTATACAGGTGAAACAGAACTCTGTCTAAATACTAACAAATAGAAGCACAACCTGCTCTTATTGCTCCCTTTTACAGGAAATGAAGGGGAAATACTATTATTTCCAGCATAGATAGTATACTATTCTCCTTTCTTTTTTTTTGTCTTTCTTTTCATTTTTAAGTGATTTCTGATAAGTCATTTCCAGCAACATCCAGCTGATAGTGTAACATTTAAAAATTGTATTGCTTCCTTGACAGGTTATTGGAGGCTTGGTTATAGTTATAATGCTTCCTCTTGTGTCACTGACTACACAATCCGCTTCCTATGTGTYCACTCATTTTGAGATATCTGAGTCAACTGGGATAACAAGCAGTGTATATGCAGTCATTCTATCTGTTCTTGTTAGTCAACTTGAGCATATGAGGTAACTTTGCCATAGTGTCCTCTGCAGACCTTCTATATAGAAATTGAGTAGAAATCTTGTGGGTGATAGATTCAACTGAGTGATATTTTCCTGCCAACATGTGAGCATTTTGCTTCTCCTGCATGTGGTACATAAAATACTGTCTTCCTAAGTTTAGCTATTATTATTATTATTATTTATTTTATTTTTTTTGGTAGAAAGCTAATAGCATATTAGAGTTTTGTAAACATTTACCATGATATTCATTAATAGAAAAAATACCAGTACTGTTGTTAAGAAGGGGGTTCCATCTCATTTTAAACAAGCTGTACTGCGTTGATTTGATATCTCTGCATCTATTTCTTTTCATTT